GCTTTACTATATATATATATTAGTGTGTAAAACACCCCGTCTCATTCGAGTACTTTGTTTTCACTGACTTTAAGGGACTCACGGAACCACCGGAAGAAGAGCAATCGGCTTATCTATCGTGAAGAACAGACATCAAACTGCAACAAAATGATTTGTATAAATGGGAATAAGCAAAAAGGCTGCCATCTAATTTTCCCGTCTGAATGGGTTCTCTTCTTTACGTATAAGCATGGGTGTCGATCCCGGGGGGATGGGGGGGATATATCCCCCCAATATTTCAGGTGGGGGGGATGGCCTGTACAATCATCCCCCCCCCCCCAATAATTCACCATCAAAAAAAAAAAATGAAGAGAAAAATTAAGGATAAGAGCCCGATGAGAGTAGTTAATGGTTATTACTCGCAAGATGACCATCAATATACACATTTTGCTATCTTATTTTCATAATACATACATATATACGAAGTAAATAAGACAACCGTATATGAGACAAGAATAAATTGAATTCTCGCTCATACGGCTTCATCAGGAATTGATGAATTTATTCAATTTGTTCAATCAACAGCATCATAGAAATGCAGTGCGCCAAATGCAAAGACGCAGCGTCAAAAAGCAACGAGCAAAATGTAAAGCGCGAAGCGCAAAAATAGCAATCTGCAATGCACATCAGACAATCCTGGACAGTGTAAACATAGATGAACTCTGTGAAGATTTCGTGATGAGATCGGAGACAAGGAGAAAGATTTTCGGACATTAGTATGACTTATAAAATAGTTCTCTATAGTTGTTATGTTGTTTCCGTTCACCCTTTTTAAAATTCACGTCATTGTATCTTTATTTTTGTTTTTTTCAATCATTCTATTTCCTGATATTTCCTGAAAGATTTTTCATTTTTGGAGAAAGATTATTATGTCACAACTTATTTGTAACACAAATTATTTTCAGTGGGGAAACTGAATTCAGACAAGGATTAATAAAGAGAACAGTACAACGAATCGTCTTCTTTCTCTAATAATTCAGTGAAAAGGGCAAAGCTATTAGGGGGCAACTGAATTCAGACGTGGATTAAGCGTAATAATCAAATGAAACGTCAAAGTACACGATACAACGAAGCGTCTTCTTTTACGAATAATTTAATGAAACGTGAAAGCTTCCGCACTAAGCGCGGAATGGGCGAAATTGAATACAGACAAGGATTAAGAGTAATAATTTATTGAAACGTTAAAGCTTCCGCGCTTCGCGCGGTAGGGGGGAAACTGAGTTCATGAAGGACACGATACAACACATCGTCTTCTTTCACTAATGTGAAAGCTTCGCGCAGGAATGGGCGAAAATGAATTCAGACAAGAATTAAGAGTCGAGAATGGTACATAGGATCGTCTTCTTTCTTTAATCATCTAATGAAACATCAGAGCTTCCGCGCTACGCGCGGGGAAGGGGGAATTTGATTCAAACATTAAGGATTAAGAGTCGAGAATGGTACATCGAATCGTCTTCTTTCTTTAATAATCTGATGAAACGTCAGAGCTTCCGCGCTACGCGCGGAGGAAAGGGAACTTGATTCAAACAAGGATTAAGAGTCGAGAACGGTCCAACGAATCGTCTTCTTACTCTTATAATTTAGTGAAACGTCAAAGCTTACGCGCTTTGCGCGGTAGGGGAGAAACTGAATTCATGAAGGACACGATACAACAAATCGTTTTCTTTCTCTAATGTGAAAGCTTCCGCGCTTCGCGCGGGAATGGGCGAAAATGAATTCAGACAAGGATTAAGAGACGAGAATGGTACATAGGATCGTCTTCTTTCTTTAATCATCTAATGAAACGTCAGAAGGGGAAGGGGAACTTGATTCAAACATTAAGGATTAAGAGTTGAGAAAGGTACATCGAATCGTCTTCTGTCTTTAATAATCTGATGAAACGTCAGAGCTTCCGCGCTACGCGCGGAGGAAGGGGAACTTGATTCAAACAAGGATTAAGAGTCGAGAACGGTTCAACGAATCGTCTTCTTTCTCTAATAATTTAGTGAAACGTCAAAGCTTCCGCGCTTCGTTGGGGGAAGGGGGAACACCCCCTCCCTGCACGCAACCCCCTAGGGACCGTGCTTCGCGTGCTCATTACCGCCCCCTAAAATGAAATCCTGGCTACACGCTTGGTAGGGGTGCAACTTGCCACACGCTTCTACCTATTGATTGCTTTGATCCATTGCCGAAAATATTTTGGCACCTATCATCCCCCCCCCCCCCAACCACGGATACAAATCGACACCCTTGCTTCAAAGCTTATTTTGATCCCTCCCCTGTTGCTTTCTAGAACTTCCACGATGACCTAATACATTGTATCAGGGTCGTCGCTAGACCTTTTTCAGTGGGGGGGGGGGTGTAGAGGCCAACGATTACCGACAAAACTAGCCACCAATTACCGACAAAATTAAGTGTCTCAATATCTACAAATAACCCTATAAACCCAGGGCCGAAGGCTAAATTGTTTTTCCTATGGACT